GAAAGTGTCGATCTGTGTATAAAGCTAATTTATTGCACAGTACAAAGAAGTGAAGAATGACTAATAATGTCAGGTGAAATTATGATTATTTACCTTTGGGGCTCCACTGAACACAAAGTGCAGCACGATTGAGTCTAAGGATGACGAGAGTTGGTACCCACTCTGGTCCTTCTTGGTTCCAAACATATCTTCAATTGGGATAAAAAATTTGAGAAGACAAAGAACGCAGTAACAGTGCTATACAGAAGTGAAACAATATCAAAACAAGACAAACACGGGGATCATGTAGGCACTGTTTACTTGAGTTTGTCCAGGCCCAGGGAAAGAGAAACAGGAGGTCCAAACAAACTACAAAATTTCATTTTTACATTTGTGTGTCTGCGTTAAAAAAAAGATAATTACTCACGAATTCCGATCATGAGATACAGAAACGATTCTGTTTGACTTCTCACTCCAGTCTATCCCAGAAACAAGTTGATCATGCTGTGGAAAGACATAAGAAACATCATATTGGTCAAAAACCAAACATAAAACAAGTAAAATTTAACAAAAAAATGAATCATCATCCATAGTGATTTCAACACCTAGATAGATTTTCATTTTGTAAGAAAATTCAGTGACCAAACATGAAGCTAGATAGAATTCCCTTCGAAAAGAACAAAGAAGACTAAACAGGCTTGTTGTCTTCAACATGAAGAGAGTGGATTCTTAGAAAGATTTTAGAACAAGGAGCTCCTCAGGTTTTACTGTTAGTATGGTTCTCAAGTCTCAACAGGAAAGCTGTAGTTTAAAAAAATGCTTCCATTATAGCTTAGTGTTTCTAGTCTATTAGCTTGTTCAAGGCATCTCCAATAATTCTAGCATGGGAAAATGTTTAAGAATTCAAAATTTACTATTAAATATCAGTTCAATTTATTTCCAACCATTTGCATTCAGGAAGAGGCTTCTAAATGAGTTTGGGAATCTTGAAGTCTGATCATATTTTCCCAACAACCTGGCTGCAACACTTCTGTTCTCACCTTTCAAGCTTAACTTTCTCACAACTTCTCTAATCCCTATCAGACGAGTCAGAATTAACCTAATAAATTTGCTAGTTGCTTTAGATTCCTAATTCTGGTTTCCATGCACATAATATTTCCTGTTCAGTTAAAGACAGAAGTGGTATAAACGTGGGCTGATATCATACAATACGTTGAAATCCAAATCTTCATCCGTCTTCCATGCAGCGGCAGTACTTCTATTTACTTATTAAGAAAGACTCAGATTTCAGACAAGATCGGACGTATCATTTCATATTTTCCTTTTCAAAAAACATTTATATTCTTCACCAAAAAAGAGGCTTCAGCTAGGTTCTAGTCATATGATATCCAGTGCGAAAATTGAGGTGTCACAAATGTACCACATAACATGATTCCAAAATGAAATTCCAAATAACTTTCGGGGATAAGTTTAGACATACTGCATACCTATATGGAAATAAATCATATCTTAGTGGTTTATACGGAACATTTTGAATAAAGTACCTTCTGAAGAACATGAACTTTCTCCCACTTGTCTTGCACCAATTTATAAATGTGAACCTCATTATTATTTGGGCAAAACGCTACCACTACAGGCAAGAGAAAAAATAAATTAAATATGTAAAAAAGAATTCAAAGAAAACATCATAATCTCATGCAAATTAAAAGAATAAGGGACAAATTTTTAGTTCTAAAACATGAATTAATATAAGCTTCAAATGAATATATATATATAAACCCGGAAAATCAATAAAAATGGATCCATCAATTTCATTCTCCTCTTCAATTTTACATTCCTAAGACAAATATTAACATCACAACAACATTAAGAGAGGGAACGGAATTTCGAAATGAACAAAAAAGAGCATAAGAAATTACTGGATTGATCGGGACTCCAAGCATGGCAAGTGATGCACTGAGCGAATTGGTGAACTGCGACGGCCGCCATTTTTATTGAGCTGATGATAAATTGATCTATTGAGCTGCGAATGCGAGGTGAAGAGATCTATGGAGAAAAGAAGGAACTGTGAAGCGATCTCAACTTCTGTTTCAAGTCTCCGCTAACAAACGGGCAAAACACTTGAATCGAAAGATACCAATGGATTCGGGTTCAAACACATCCGGTTTTCGGGTTTTTTTGTTGATTTTTATTGGGTAAAGTACAACTCGGGCACTTTTATTATGAGTAATCGCCTCATCATATTTTAAATAGTCATAATCGAATCATTTACTGACATAAGAGGTCCATGTACGTTTTTTTTCGTTTAACTGTTATGGTGTTGAAGTGTCTATTCACGTTACTGACGTGGTTATTTACGGAGTTGACATGGAGGTCCACATTGTTGATATGGAAGTCCACAGTGGTTTATAATGTGATGGATAACATGATAGGTAGAATGCTACATCGGTACCGTGAACCGTACGTCAGTACTGTGAATAACCACATCAATACTGCAATAGTCAAATGACGAAAATTTTGGTCAAAGAGCCACATCAGATTTATTTTAAGTTGGAGGCTACGTTGAGAGAGAAAAATTAATACGATGGCTACATTATTTTTTCCTAAAAGTACAGGGACCTCTGATGCCTTTTTTCCATTATTAATCTATTGTAGCAATCAAATCACTCATTCGTTAAGAGTAATTCTTCAGTTACATTTAAGTGGCTAAATGTAAACTTATTCATAGTTGAATGACCGAAATATAAACTTACTCATATTTAAGTGATTAAAGTATAATTAAAAAATTAATGTTCGTTCTACACTTAATAGTAAAATGTTCTGATTATTATAATCAATAAACAAAACGATCTAATTATAAAATAGTTGCATGTGTAATTTTTTTAGTTGGTTCAATAGGTTAAATTATTTTTGAAATATGGATGAAATTCTTTATTATTTTTTATAATTTAATTTTAGATGTGTTTTATTTTTAATATTATCTTAGCAAAAATATTCATTTATTAGTTATGATTATACACCAAACTAATTAAAATTTTCATATAAAATTAGTTCAATTCCTTTATAAATAAAATAATTAATAAAACGGGAATTGAATGCTAGAAAATAGCATTGAAACTTCTGCTAATTATGTTAAGATTTGAAACCTTAAGATTAAATTTGGATACATAATTATACGTTCGTGAATAGTTTCTCACGACATTCGATTATGAGTTATAGTTCTCGGTGATCTTTCAATAGCTTAATCAATATTAATTTAAGCTTAATATAAAAAATGACTAAATTATGCCTTTTTTCATTTAAATGCTTAAATTTTTTCCGATCAAAATAGATGACTAGCCTTTCTAATATTATTTTAATAGCCTTTCTAATAACCACCTAATATTTTTATATAATTATCTACACACTACCCATAATAGGTAAAAATTTTAAATTTGTATCCGTTCATGCGGGTACATTCTCAAATTCATCCCCACACTCACTATCCAACTGAATATTCTCCACTCATCTCGTATTCGCTTGTACACCTTTATCTGCCTGATAGCAACCTCACATATTACGTAAGCGATAGTGTTCAATTTTAAAAATGTTTATACCTTAATATTTAGTTAAATTACAAGTTACGTCTTACAAAATCTTAATATTTATAAAATAATCTCTGAAATTATACGTAAGTTCATAATAGTCCAAAATGTATATGATGAATAGTTAATGGGCGGATGGATGTGGGGCAGGCAGATGCGATGCGGGTAGTGTCTCAAACCCATCACCTTCTCACTACCCACGGCGGGTATGACATTTTACATCCACATCCGCCTACTATCGATTAAACTTATACCTATCCCTACTCCAATTAAAGTAGGTACGATACGAAATCCACGATATTGTACATGTATGTCATCCCTAATAAGAAATAACTTTATTGAACCTAATCGTTATTTTCTTTTAGTTACTCATTATCTTCACCAATTGAAAGGTATGTAATAGTTTAAAATTTAAATTTTTATTCTTGAATTTTTATTGTTTCATTTGTATCCCTCTTTTAGCTTCTGATTTTTCCCTTGAAAGTGACTCAAAGGCATTAGAAAATAGGGTAAACTATGCATTTACTACCTAAACTATTAGTTTTGGTATATTTTATACCTAAACTTTTAATTTTTTAAAATTATACATAACTTTTAGTTTTTATTTTATTTTAGTACCACACAATTAAAAATTTAACATGTTTAGTGCCTAAACTATCAATTTTGGTACGTTTTAATATCTAAACTTTCCATTTTTTCAGAACTTAATGTAAATTTTGAACAGTATACTAAACTGAAACAAAGACTAACGTTTTTAACAGTGGAGTACTAAAATGAAATAAAAACTAACTTTAGGTATGTTTTAAAAAAATTAAAAGTTTAGATACTAAAATTAACCAAAATTGATAGTTTAAGTATTAAACACGAATTTATCCTAAAAATTATTATTTCAACTTTAAAAAAATCATATATAATTGTATTTAGGGCTGTAAATGAGTCGAGTCGAGCTCGAAAACTTTAAAATGGAGTTCGACTCGACTTGAAAACTCTCGAATCTAAAATTTTCAAGCTCGATTGGAACTCGAGACGATGAACTGAAGCTCGTAAAAACTTGAAATTAAAAAAAATATTAAACTTAACTCAATTAAAGTCTCACGCTCAAACTTGAACCTTAGATATAATAAAATCTTATACTACATTTAAAAAAAATCAACACATAAAATATTATTAATAATTTATTTTTAAAAAGTAAATTATTAATATATTATATTTTTAAATTACTCACGAATTTTTTGAATTGAACTCAAACTCGAGTCGAATTAATTCAAATTAAATATTTTTTAAATTTTAATCAAATCAATATTAAAAAATTCACAATCTACCTTATCTCATCTATTATCCTAATCGTACTACAAAGCCCTAGTGGGACATGCCAATGCGATTATGATTTGTCTGCAATCTGCTTCGTTATCTCATAAAATAGTAGTACCAATCTTTCCACTGAGCATTCTCAAACGATCAAAGCCACACATAAATCCCTTTCTCGATAGCCTCACCGTTGTGGGCAGCTTTTGCTTTCTCATGGCCGCAAATCAGCTACCAGAACCATCATGGGAGGAGCTGCTAGGCAGCAAAAACTGGGACTCGCTTCTCAATCCTCTCGACCTCTCACTTCGCAAGCTCGTCCTCCGCTGCGGTGACTTCTGCCAGGCGACGTACGACGCCTTCAACAATGACCAAAACTCGAAGTTCTGCGGCGCAAGCCGCTACGGCAGGTCCTCTTTCTTCGACAAAGTTATGCTGGACACCGCCTCCGATTACAGGGTCGAGTCGTTCCTCTACGCCACCGCTCGCGTCTCTCTCCCGGAAGCCTTTCTGCTCCACTCCAGGTCGAGGGAGTCATGGGACCGCGAGTCCAACTGGATTGGCTACATAGCCACCACGTCCGACGAAACGTCGAAGGCTCTCAGCCGCCGCGAGGTCTACGTAGTGTGGCGAGGAACCACCAGAGACTACGAGTGGATTAATGTCCTTGACGCCAAGCTTGAGCCCCTCGAACCCCTTCTGCGAGTCGACGAAAACAACCAGAAAGATCATGGTACTAGTAGTAGCAGTGACAATGACGATGAAAACAAGAAGCAGCCCAAAGCGATGCTCGGTTGGCTCACTCTTTACATTTCCGACAACCCCAAATCACCTTTTACGAAAACAAGTGCGAGGGCACAGCTTTTGGGTAAGATCAAAGAGCTAAAAGAGAGATACAAGGATGAAAACTTAAGCATAGTGTTCACCGGGCACAGTTTGGGGGCTAGTTTATCGATTTTAAGTGCTTTTGACGCGGTTGAGAACGGCCTAGTCGACGATATTCCCGTTGCAGCCATTGTATTCGGTTCACCACAGGTGGGAAACAAGGCTTTTGACGAGAGAATGAAAAGGTATCCGAATCTAACAATTTTGCACATAAAGAACACGATCGATATGATCCCTCACTACCCTAGCTTGTTGTTGGGGTACGTTTACACCGGGACCGACTTGGTGATCGATACGAGGAAGTCTCCGAGCTTGAAGGACTCGAAGAACCCCGGTGATTGGCATAACTTGCAGGCAATGTTGCACATAGTAGCAGGGTGGAATGGAGAGAAAGGAGAGTTCAAGCTGAGGGTGAAGAGAAGTTTGGCCTTGGTGAACAAGTCTAGTGCGTTTTTGAAAGATGAGTGCTTGGTGCCCGGTTCATGGTGGGTGGAGAAGAACAAAGGGCTCGTGAGAAATGGAGATGGGGAGTGGGAAATGACTCCACCGGCCGATGAAGACTACCCTGCACCTGAATAATCTTGGCTACTACTTGCCTACCCTCCTTCAATTTGGTCTTCTTTTTCTAGCCTTTTGTTTTGTTTTGTATGTTTGTGTGTTGCTTTTATGTCTTGGTCCGCTCATATGGGAGATTTGATGCAAATATAGGGGATAAAGTGCTATTTCAAGTGTAAATTTTATCTGAATGCTAAAATAAGCAGCTGCCAAATAAATTTCTTTTTATGATCGGACTTGTCTTCGTTTCTTTTGTGTGTTGCTTTTATGGCCTTTTTATGTATTTTGAATAAAATGAATACATTTCAGTTTGATAAAAAAATATTACCGTTTATTTGTAAGGTAAATTACATTTTTAGTACTTAAATGAACATTTTTGGTCAATTGTAGTACTTAAATTTTAAATTTTTTTAAAAATATTTAAATTTAATTTTTGTTTTATTTTAGTACCCGTTCAAAATTTAACGTTAAAAAAATTGAAAATTTAAGTACTAAAATGGACCAAACATAATAGTTTAGTACTAAACACATTAAGTTTTTAACAGAAAAATACTAAAACGAAATAAAAATTAAACGTTAGATATAATTTTAAAAAAAATTAAAAGTTTATATACTAAAACGGATTAAAATTGATAATTTATATATTAACTAAGTAATTTATTTTTTTTACTGTAAATTGTATCGAGCAGTGTTGTATTTTCAGAGGTCATCTTCAAAAACTGTTAGTTTTCTACAATTCGAGATTTTTTAGTAGACTCCACCCTTCAGTTCTTAAGGAATTCATATCTTTCGAGTACATTAGCCTATAAGTTTACATTGCATAAATAAGGTCTCTCACAGTCCACGTAACTTATCAGAGGGAAACTTACTCTAATAGTTGTGATATTTTATTTAAGTCAAGCCTATTTTAATATCACATAAGATTATAATAAAAAAATAAATTTAAAAATATCAAATTGTATCTTTAAATTTTTAAATAAAACTCAACTAGTAAATTAACATATAGTTCAGACAATCGTTAATTTTTAATGAAAAAAGACGAATTTAAGACATATAAATAATCGATAATTATTTTACAATTTTTAATAACCATAAGATTTAATAAAATAATGTCCTCTAATTTAGATAACTTCTAATGGTAGAAAAATTATACGAAAAGGAGTAGGGCGGACAAGTGGCTCGGCAGCTCAGATGTGGGGGGCACGACAAGGTCTGTTGTTAACGAAATCCGTAGCGATAAATGTTATTCTGGCTATGGATGCGAGATGGGTGATTGATATCTTGAAGGATAGACAAGGAGAGGAGCAACAACATGAGACGTTAAGATGGGTTTGTCAAAAACTACTAAGGGAAGGATGGACGAGCGAAGTAAGATATGTTAAGCGAGAAGGCAATAAATATGCTGACCGTCTAGCCAATATGGCTCTTAATCAAAAAGAGAACCTGACCATTCTACATTCTCTACCTGAAGAGCTAAACCAATTACTGGATATGGATTCTATAGGATATGGGGAATGGAGATTGTAATCCTCTTCGCGCTTGATTTTGATTCATTTTTTACCAAAAAAAAAAACAGGTTGGATCTCATTTGTAAATCTATATATATATATATATATATATATATATATATATATTAATGGCTTAAATTCGTTTTACTAATGTAACGGCCTGAAATATTCTAAGCTGATGAAAAGCGCAGATCATGGCGCAGACTGTAGAAATTAACATTTCTTCCTACTTCCATTGAGACTAATTCACGAAGGAGTGGTGGAGACTCAAATGCTATCGGTTTCCGATTCAAATATGGCACGGGCCTGCTGGTGGTAAAGCTTTTCTTTTCTCTTTCTCCCTTTCGTTCATTTTTGTTTTGATTTTTAAAGATGTTCCATTGAATATGGTATGCTTGGGTTGGGAAAGGAACGGGTTAGGATCACTGATGATGAGAACGATGATCTAGTGAGAAAGAAGAGAGTAGAAGTGTAGACAAGGTGTTTGTAGAAATTCCAGGATGAATTCCAGAAAGGTTCAGTGTTTATGTACATGAGCTGATTACAATCCTTGATTTGTAACTAACAAACCAAGCAACAACATTTCCCTCCAATTATAACCAATTACAACAGCCCCAACATATTCCTGGCTACAGAATATCTCTGTTTGGTGTTTCATTGAATTTTAGTTTTATATTTGATCAGAGAAGACTAATAACTGTGATTATCAATTATCAGCGCCAAAAGATTAAATTGTATATATATGCATTTATATGTTCGAGAATGCATGACTGATTTTTCTTCTCTTCAATTATGAGCACTCAGGGCATCTATTCCTTTATCTTTGATCTAAATTTGATATTCTTAGTTATTCGGGTTTATTTTGTTCTTGTAAGAATATTAAGGCTGCCTAAAGATCATCTAAATAATGTTGCTAATTTTACGGGGATAAAGTTTTTTGCTGAATATTGTGTGGATGATGAATTACTTTTTTGGAACCCTAAAGAGCTCTACTGGATGCCATCTCATGGGAGTGAATACATGAACCAACTGGCTTGAATCTTGGGTTTGTGGGTGATCTTTATCTTGGTGGAAGAAAATGTTAAAAGGATGTAGCTGATCTAGTTGTGAAATAATGATAAGTGGAAGTTGATATAAGCATATCTTTATATCTTATTAGGGACAAAGGTTTTGTAGAGGAGTTTTATGTCTTGGCTGATGGAAAACAACCTGGTCATGTCTTGGCTCATCAAATCATTACATCATTGGATATTTATACACAAGAATATGAACCTAACTAGGAAAAAAATCTATAAAATGGTATCGAATGAAATGAAACTTCTTGGTTTACAGAATATTTATTTAAATCCCAGATATTTATGGAATAGGAATAAATTATTATTCTCCCAACTTGTTCCTTACAATATTGGCTGCAAATGACATTGGATTCTTGCATTTGCCAGTATTATTCAGATATTGAACTCGTCAATGAATTGTTGAAATGAAACTGTCCAGTACCTCATCATGGTAAACTTTTAGGTTTTAGGTTTTAATTAGCTGATCCTATTCCCATATGTAATGGAATAAGGGAGAGGTAGGGTAGTAGACTACCCCCAACGCTAGATTGAGAGCAACTTCCGAAGAAGACCTCTAGGTTTCGGTCCACTATATATTTAGATCACATGTACGAGTGTTGCCTATATTAATTTGTATGTCCTTATCATGTTTAGATATTGATGTATGTTTTATGAAAAGTTCGCTATATTTGTATATGCCTAAACTATTTTTTTTAATGATCTCGATGCCTAACGTTATAAACATTATCAATTTAGATGCCTCATTCGTCAACGACGTTAATTTCTTCCGTTAAACGACACATGTATAATCTGCTAATTTTGAATTTTTTTTAAACAAATATTAAAAAAGTTATTATATTTATAAAACAAACTCTAATTTCTCTTAAATTATAAAAAAAAATCCCAAAATCCTAACTTAACCCCTCGATGCCTTTTTCGACCACAACTACTATCGCTAACGTAATTCCTGTCATCTTCCTAGTCATACGTCTCCATAGTTGTCACTTATTGACCGTCGAAATCATGATTTTTATCCTATAGTACAAAGGTATAAGACATATATTCATCTACTAGTTGTTTTATTAATCGATGGAAAAGGGTGACAAATGACATGAGTTCAGGTATTGAAGTGAAGGATTTCAAAATTTTGATGAATTTCAAATTTTTTAAGGTTATTTCAAAATGTGTTTTTAAATATCTAATTTTAATTTTAAAATTATCAAATTATAACATGTATCATTGAACTAGCGATGAAACCACTAAGGCTTGGGAGGGTACCCACCAAAAGTTTATTTTTTAACCTTTAATTTATATATAAAATTTAAATATTTATGAGATAATTATGGAGTTGTCCACCATATTTTAGAAAAATTCTAGTTTGTTCTTCTCAAGTTGAAATTTTAGTTCCATCCCCGTATTTAACAAAAGAAATTAACATCACTAATGATCTTAATATCTAAAATAATAACATTTATAATATTAAGCATTAAAATCATCCAAAATAATAATTTAAACTCTTAGGGTGCGTTTAGTTCACGAAATGTAAGATTACTAGTGGGAATAAAAGATTACTAGAGAATATGATTACTGGGAATGCTGTATTTTGTGTTTGGTTGGTTTAGCAGGAATGTAAGATTACCGTGTTTGGTTAAAGGAATAAAAGATTATTGGAATGTATATTTGACCAAATTATCCTTATTATATATTTGTATAATATTACAAATTATAAAATATTTATATATATTTTCTTTAAAAAATTAAATTTATAATATTTATATAATTTGTTTTACAAAATTAAAAATATAAAAAATGTTTAATGAAAGGGTAAATTTTTTTAACCCCTGAACTTCATATAAAATTTTAATTATAGACTTTTTTTTTTGTAAATCTAAAATAATTTAAGGATAAATTTGTAATTTAACCTTCGTAGAATTTTTATTATTTAATGACAGGAGAAATATATTTTTGAAAAAAAATAAAAATTTAAAACCATTTTAGTCCAAAACGCCGGTAATGTTACAATACCTAAGGGAAGGGAGGTAATGACATTCCTGGTAATATACTCCAAAAAAATCTACTATTGGTAATAAAACATTACCGAAAATGAAATTCTCAGCCAACCAAACATGAAAATGTGGGATTCCCATCCCACAATCCTTGAACTAAACACCTCTTATTAGTAAAAACGGATAGACTAATCCGATTATATATAAAAACAAACTTAAAAAATCTAATTTCCGAAAATAATAATGGTTTCCATTTTGGATGTAAACGGTTTTGTATTCCAATGCATCACAGTAAGAGAGGCGCGTGTCTTTATCCTCCGGACAGTTGACTTGAGAAACATCCTTGAAGTTGAAAAACACGCTCCCATTCCTCATCTGGGGAAAATCTATGGAACCCCACAATTGGGTACCCGCACTCATCCAACCCTATAACTTTCGCTCAATGTGGTCTCGACTTCCCCCTCTTTCAATTGGTTCGTGTTATCCCCGCTATGATACTTGGCCAGCACGGCTCTCTCGATGCACCCACGCGCTTCTCTCAAGTCGGTTGGAGCCACGAGGGCACGCTCCACCTTCACCTGTAAGATAAGGATATAGGGAGAGAGAGAAAAAAAATACGAAAACGAACATCATTTTCCTAGAGAAAGAAAGAGACTCGGACGAAGAACTGATATTGAACCGGCAAAGGTAAGGGCGTTGAGAAGTCTCTCTTTTCCTTGTTTCCTTTACGAAGTTTGATTCTGTTTTGGGCTTGTAAAGATGGTAGTGGTTTTGATTTTGTAGATCGAGCAGGGGTTTCTTTATTTGAATTTCTTGTGTTTGTCTTGAGGGATATCTGGAGTTTGGAGGTGAAATTAGGGTTTTGGAGTGGACGTGGTTAAACCCTAGTTTGGATTGATCGGGAAAATTGATTTTTTTGGGTCTGGAGTTTGGAGAAGGGGGAATCAGGGTTTCCAACCCTAATACATGTATGGCTTCGGGAACGGTAGTTGGAGAAGGAAAAGATGGTGAAAACAGAGAGAGGCAGCGGTACATGGAGAACAAGGTTTACACCAGGAAAGCGTTTAAGGGTCCCAAGAAAAACAATCTTCTCGACACCACAACTAACAACTTCACCACCACCAAGGATGGCCACAACAAGAACAACATCGTCATCAACGGAAACGGCAACGACATTAGTAACAACGAGGACAACAACGAAAACAACAACAGCTGTAGCACTGCTGTGAACAACATTGTCGTCACCACAATCGCTTCCTCTACAATTGTGCACAAAGAGGACAACACAAATGACAAGAACAATAGTAACAGTGATGACAAGAACAACAACAACTCTGCTGAAGCACCAGCTCAGGCTCTTCCTTTAGAGCATAGTGATTCAGCTCACCAACAGCCTGCTTCCCGTTTAGATACTTCTGTGTCTGGTGATTCTTCAAGTCCTAAGAAGCAGCATGTTGTGGCTGGCAATGGAGCCGTGAAGCCGATTTCAGAAAACAGGGTGAAGATCAATTTGGCTTCAAGGTCGAAGTATGAGATGTGGGAACTGAGGAGGAAGTTGGAGAGTGAGCTTGATTTGGTAAGGAATTTGGTGAAGAGGATTGAAGTTAAAGAAGCGCAGATTAGTAATTCACATGTTCCCGTGAATGACAGCGTTGATTGTGGATTCGAGAGGGTTCAACCAGAGGTGACTTCAATCGGTATTCCTCAGAAGCCTGTCAAGCATCTAAGGCCTTTGAACCAGTTGAATATTCCTGTCTTGGAGATTAGTCAGGGTGTGAGTGAAAGCATGGAGAAGGAGAAGGAGAAGAGAACGCCTAAGGCGAACCAATTCTATCGGAATTCAGAGTTTTTGCTTGCAAAAGATAAGTTTCCCCCAGCAGAGAGTAACAAAAAGTTGAAATTAAATGGGAAGAAGCAAGGAGGAGTTGAATTAAATCGTGGCTTCGGTATGGGTAACAAATGCTTTAAGAGCTGTAGCTCTTTGCTTGAAAGACTAATGAAGCATAAGCATGGTTGGGTCTTTAATGCCCCTGTTGATGTCAAAGGTTTGGGTTTGCATGATTACTATACTATTATTAAGCATCCCATGGATTTGGGTACTGTGAAATCAAGGCTTAACAATAACTGGTACAAGTCGCCAAGAGAGTTTGCAGAGGATGTGAGGCTAACATTTCGCAATGCTATGACATATAATCCTAAGGGACAAGATGTTCATATTATGGCGGAGCAGTTGTCACAGATATTTGAGGACAAATGGGCTACTATAGAGGCAGATTATATTCGAGATATGAGACTTGCAATGGAATATGAAGCTAGTCTTGCTATGCCAACTCCAAGAAAGGCAACTCCAATGCTACCCCCGCCACTTGATATGAGAAGGATCCTGGATAGACCAAAGTCAATGATGGGCCCTGATGATCTGAGGCCAAAACTTATTGCTACTACTCCTTCAGGTAGGATACCTACTCCAAAAAAGCCTAAGGCAAAGGATCTGTATAAGAGGGATATGACTTACGAAGAGAAGCAGAAGCTTAGCACCAACCTTCAGGGTTTGCCTTCAGAGAAGCTGGACAACATCGTACAGATTATTAAAAAAAGGAATTCGACTCTCTTCCAACATGATGATGAAATTGAGGTGGACATTGACAGTGTGAATACTGAGACTCTTTGGGAGCTAGATAGATTTATTACAAACTACAAGAAAAGCTTAAGCAAAAACAAGAGAAAAGCTGAACTTGCCGTTCAAGCTAGAGCAAAAGCTGAACATACTGTGGAAGAGAAGGTAAAGCTTTTTTGTCATAGTTTCTTATAAAATAATCTTTTACCAGGAGTTCTGAATGCTTATATTTTATTTAGTTGCAGACCCCAATGCCTGCTTTGGTTGAAGTGCCAAAGGAAGCCGGAACTAGTAAGTTTTCATATCATAGAAATGATGGTATTTTGGTTGTTTCATGCTTGGTTAGACTGATAACTAAAATTGTCTTACTTCTATCTACAGACGAGCATAATATGTTCATATCAACTGTTGAAGTGGGGGAACAGGGAGATAATGCTAGTAGGTCAAGTACTTCGAGTAGCTCTAGCAGTGATTCCGGGTCTTCATCAAGTGGTAGTGTGATTTGTTTCTAACTAGATTTATTTTTCTCCCCCCTCCCCCTTCCGTTCTCTCTTCTTGTTTTTAACATATATAATTTTGTTGCAGATTCTGATAGCGAAAGCTCCTCAGCATCTAAATCTGATACTGGACATTCACCAAGGTCTTGAATTTTTTTCAATCAGGTATGGTGAAATGTTCCTTGACTTGATTCTTCGAAGTTCTTTGGGTTTATTTGCTTGTTGTCAAGTGTCATCTTCTGCAGTAGTATTGTGCAGAATTTTGTTTATATTGTGGTTCATTTGATTTGAATAGTAAGAAGTTACATTTGATGAAAACGGTGGTAACTCTTTAGCAGGGCTTCAACTTGAAGGTTTAATATTCAAATTTTGAGGAGGGTGGGTGGGGTTTATAAGATCAATGGAGGGATCAAATTTGTGGCTAAAAGGGTAGGTTCTTTCCCAAAAGGGGCAGCTTCTCAGTTACTCCCCTTTTTATTTGAAATTATTGGTAGCTTATCAGTTACCCTAAACTCTAAATTCTAAACCCTGAACCAACAAGTCTTGATCTCAATATATTTGGGGCCAGCTACAAGGATCAAGACACAAATCCTCCAATAGTTTATATCAGTCGTTGTCCTCTTGAAGTCATTCCTAGTCTAACAACAACTTATTAACATTCTTTCGTACACATCTTTTGTATTTCTTGTTAGCACAAGTACAACACTTTGTATGATATAGAAAAACATGTCTGATAGTTATCCTGTAGGAATTTTCATTCAAACTCAGGGAGGACTCAAATTGATCCTTTGCTCACCCCTATTATAACTGAAACTTATCCGTCAATGCAATCTAAGTTCTGACATTCCTAACTATTCTCTCGTAAGTATTATAAATTATATTAACATTGTGACAGGATATGTCTCTGTTGTAAGATCATGAAAGAATGTCTCTAAGTATTCTATCACATGCACTCTTTAAAGAATCATGTAACTCATGTGCTAATATTCTACCCTCTCAATATGTTGTCACGAGATGAATTTCTTCTGGGGTTCATCGTGGTTGCATGAATGAAACCTAATGGTTTAACACAACCATAGCATTTTGTTAAGCGGTGCTCAGTAACCCTTCCTGAATTTTTATAGTATGATAATTTGTTTTATGCCTCTACAATTTAAGGAAATCAACAGGATTCACATGCAAGAAAATGGAACAGAAACATATTTGTTGGCCTTGTATGTCTTGGCATGTTAATATTCCTTGTGAGATGTTGATGTATAATAATGTAAATGATGAATGATTGGTAATCTATTTGCAAAGTATTTAACAATTATATCTTTGCAAAGTCCCCCCCACCCTTATTTTAATTTGGCGAACAATGGATGAAAGGAGTTTGCATAAAGATGCAGAATTGATTTATATGGACCTTACAGAATAATGAGTCCTACATGCCTTTATCAACTTTCTTACCAATATTCTGATCTAATTTGCCATGGTATGCTGTTCTGACTTGTTTTGGTCTACCATCATACTGCAATCCATAAATGAAAAAAATATGCCATCTTAAGTTGTATCCTTTTGTTTCTTGTAGCATACAAAAGTTAAAGTATTCTAATAATTGACCTTACCAAGGAAATCAATGAAATCCAGCATCACCACTAGTACCACTTTTTTTGTTTTGGGAGCAGATTCTCACAGAGAAACATGCTTCCTGTTCATTTTCTGTTGTTTCTGTTCATGTTTCGGAGTAAGTGCATGTTATCGAGTGTTGACCTGCTTGTCCTAACAATAACTAATCACTTTGAGATCATAATTGTCTGCACAATAGAACATATTGTCCATTAATCGAGCATTTATGATTTTGATGTGATTTAGTTGTGCTGTTACTGCTGCTTCTGTCGTGATGAAGATGGTTGTCAAGGAAATGATGCTACAAATGTTGTACTTCTCCTTTTGATTTTATGCATGCTTAAAGTGTTGGGATGTTGTGACAGAGTCCTGATGTTATATGAATGCTTTTCTGAACTTTCAACTACTGGTGCAGTTCAAGGTTTATTTTACTACTATGTGATGTTCTTGTATGCTTTGCAGTGGCTGATCTAAAATTTAGAGTAAGGTGCCATCCATTTCGATCCTGAAGCATTGCAGATTCCGTTTTATTTGCACTAGGCGGAGAAGCACCGGCCACCCATTTAGCCACTGCAGGGTGTGGGGTTGTGTTTCTGGCGCAGCAAGGCATCGTCATGTGGACTGTTTTGTATAAGATGGGTAGATGTGTCAAATACTTGGGAGAATTTGGGTTTTTCTTTTTCGTGTAGCACTTGTACATTGCTAACGTCTGCTACTGCTGCTGGTGATGCTAATAGTTTTAGGGAACATTTGTTTATTTATAAGATGGGTGGCAGCTTAAGGATTCATGTTATACTCGGAAAATGGTATTGTAATTTCAGTCATAATTGCTTAGCATGAAATCATCTGCAGAAGCTGATTTATTACTAGTGCTTGCTTTTTCACGCTCACGCTATGTAATAGTTCATCTATCATATTGAAGTTATTAATTTAATTTATTTGTCATGTCATATATGTTATGTTATTAATTACCGTTGATTATCACATTAGTATAATAAAATGTCATGTTAATATCGTAATTATTAATGATAATAAAATGTTAGTTAAAAGGTCACATCAGATAAAAATTATATAAGATATATTTTTTGACTTAAAAGATAAAAAATAATACGAGAATCATACTTTTTTTTAATTAAATAGACTTTTTATGTATTTTTACTAAATAAGAATTATTTTGAAGTAATTAAAAGATTATTTTCTTTTCTATTAATCGGTAATAAATATAATATAATATTTATTTAAATTTAATTTTTAAACTTTTAACATTAAACGTTTGTACTTCTGACATCTATGATGTTCGAACCCAAATACTTAAAAAATAATTACTAAACAAAAATTATTTTGTAGTAATTAAAAGATTTTTCTTTTCAATTAATTTAAAATTAAAATAAGCGTCAGATAATATCTGTTTAAATGTAATTTTCAATCTTTCGACATCAAACACATGTACTTTACATCTATGACACACAGACTATTTGATTCGTGCTGTAGCAAGTAACTAAAAGATGTTCATACATAACAGTCCAACTGAGCCAGCAAGCAAAGGAGGAAAACACTTGCAAAAAGATTCATTAAATAAGTTGACAAAACTAAACATCCAACCCAAAAGTTCAAATAAATACAACTTGTTTGCCCTTTCTGCTTCAAAAATTCTAAACTAAAACTTCATTTTTGCACTAGCTTAGTGGGAAGATCCTTACAGTTCCAAAATGAATGAAAGAGAGAGCAAGAATGAGCCAGGATTGAGCAATGCGATGAGAAGAACTCAGATCTGCAGTAGAATCCGGCCCAACCCCAAGTGTTCCAGTTGACTCAGAAATGCTTGCATTGTTCACCGTCTTGCTGCATTTCAAATCAATCGACTCAGGACCCAGAAAAAGAACCCATCAATTTCTCGAAATCCAATAGGGAAAAACATTACCTGGAAGGGAACTTGCAATTGCCATAGCCTGAAACAAAATATCCATATACAAATAACAGTGTTTAATGGCAACTGTGAAATCACTAATTGGCCAAGATTTGAAGACGAAGAAGAAGAAGAAGAAACTCACTGGGGTTTAAAGAAGTGAGGGCGGCATTGTTGGAGAAGGAGCAAGCATCGTCGGTCATGCCGTTCTTCAAGTAGTAGTCATTGAAGGCATACGACGCCGTTTTCTGGATATCAGTCGGGTCATAACACGCTCCGCCTTGCTGGACCGGGTTGCAATTCGCCCCGCCTTGACCGCACGCCCAGTCAAGCGCTCCCTGCAGCGACGCGTCCTCCGCGTTGTTCTTCGCGACGCACCAAAGCTCCGTGACCACCGTTCCGCCGCCTCGCTGGGCCGTCGAACGCGGCGGCGACACGAAAACCAGACACACAATTAGAGGAAGGAAGAGATTTCGGGACATGGTAATATGGGACTGTATATGTTCGTGTTAATGCTGAATACTGAAAACTGGGAGATGGATGGCAAGAGTGACCGTTGGGAGATCTAAGGTGAATTGAAAAAAAAAACAAATAAGGCAAATCGGAGAAGAAAGAGGAGATCTGGGATATGAAAGAGTAAAGTTATTGAGTCACTCGGAACTCGGGAACCGTTCTGTGAGTTGTGCTTTGTCGGGTAGCGTCTCTGTTATCTTTCAGTGTTTCCATCAATCCCTGTCTTCATCCTGAGATTTATCATCTTCGGATCAACCGTTTTTTCTAATCCGTAACTATTTTATAAATAAAAATTTAGTTTCGATTATAAAATATTATTTTATTAAATATTTTGATTATTAAAAATTATAAATTTATTACGTTTTAAATTCATTTTTTTGTTAAAATATTTATGGTTGTTCAACGTTAATATAATAACTGAAATATAATAGTCGTTTGATAATCTATGATCATATTTTATTATATAACAATTTGGGGTTAAAGCTCAGCTCAAAATACCGTCAATCCTTTTAACGAAAAAAAGATGAGGTTGGTGTCTTATGAATAATTAAGTAACTATTTTATATTTTTAAAGTTAAAAGACTCAACAAATTAGAGTCATATAATAACGAAAATAAACTATCACATCTCAGTAATTATATTAATATATAATTTAAATAACTATTAAAATTTCAAGGTGAAAAGATAAATTTAAAATATAATAAATAATTAAATTATCATTTAATAACTTAAATTGGGCAGACATGGTGGTTGTGGTAGCAAGTTAACTGGGCCTTAGTCTAGCTTATTTGAGTTAATTGAGGAAACTAGTGAAACTGAAGTTGGAATTGGACAAATTGTGCAACAACTTAGGGTCCGTTTAGCATTGTTGTCGGAAGAAAAAAAAACTTGATTTTGAACAAGTTTGTGTATTTTTTGCTGTCAAAACAAGTTTATGACTTCAAAAGCTTTATCAACAGTAACTCAAAGCAAAGCTTGATCAAAATGGGATTGACTTAGCCACAACGGTTGCTCAATCTGCGTGCACCAATAAGAGCCTCAGAATGCTTATCCCCATAATTCCCATAATCCAATCCATTTTCCTCATCAAATATTCTATCAGATTCCCGATTCCCCCCTTCACGTATCAAATCAAAACCCTCCACGCCCACACCACACTCTTGTTCAGTCAGTTTCAGTTTATAATTTAGGCTTGATTACTATCAGAGCAGCAGCCATGGCCTCCGCCGCATGCTCCCTGCACCACCACCATGCACTCATCACCACCGCCACCAGATCATCAGCATCGCAACGCCTAGCTTCAAACGCCAAGCCAAATCAACTCCCGGTTTGCACTGCTTCTCTGAAACATGCAGACACGATGGTCTCCCGTAGGTTGGCTCTCTCCGTGCTGATTGGCACCGCAGCCGCTGGCTCTAAGGTTTCTCCTGCTGGTGCCGCCTATGGTGAAGGTAACTCGATCACTCTCTATTTCTCCTTGTATCATTTAATACATGCACTTGGGTAGATATTAAAATAGGCAGAGATTTGGTGCTGCAGCAAATGTATTTGGCAAGCCAAAAACGAACACCGAGTTCATACCGTACGATGGACCAGGGTTCAAGCTGTCGATACCATCGAAATGGAACCCGAGCAAGGAGGTTGAGTACCCTGGTCAAGTCCTGAGATATGAGGACAACTTCGACTCCACCACCAATGTTGCTGTCATGGTCACCCCGACTGACAAGAAGTCCATTACCGACTTCGGGTCCCCTGAACAGTTCCTCTCCAAGGTTCATTTCTCATCATTTCATTTCATTACATACATACATACGTGTGTGTGTACATGTAGTATGTGGTTTACTGATTTATTTGCTTCTCATGGATCTTTGCAGGTGGACTATCTGCTTGGAAAACAAGCATATTCTGGCTTAACCGATGCTGAGGTATGGTTTATCAAATAAGAGTAAATATCTATAGAAAAAAAAACATGAAAATACTTAAAATGTTGAGTATCCTTAAATTCACACATAATCATATCCAACACGTTGTTATACCTCCTCCGTGTACTTATACCACACCGGTGTTGGATTCATAAATATTTTTTTCGGATGGACACTATCTATAAAATACAAAACTAATTAAAGAAAAATTAAATTTTCGGATGTAATCCACTTTCAACTATACGTGGCTCCATCACTGTATACCTTTGTTTTCACCCCTCGTACAGAAGGCCTCGAGGTATGTGAAATTTTTTCTAAGATATTTCACAGTTCACCCGGAGGTAATCCCGTCAATTCTTTTCATTTGACTACAGTCTCTTGATATGATCGTTGCCAATTACATTACTAGCTAAATCTATTATTTAACATCAGAATTTAGTCACCTGCCAAACTATTAATCTTAAGACTGACCGATTATCTTATTGTTTAGTGTCAAGGACATATATACTCGCACAAATAAAACCGAGTAAAAAGAGCTTCAACCCGGCACTCATCGTTCATCGTCTTCTCCAAATCTTTTCTTTCTTTTCTCCATATCTTTAAAATCATGCATGTCATGCATGCAGGGTGGGTTTGACTCAAATGCTGTGGCGACTGCAAACATATTGGAGACTTCAACTCCGGTGATAGATGGGAAAAAGTACTACTTCTTGTCGGTGCTGACGAGAACCGCCGACGGAGACGAAGGTGGCAAGCACCAACTAGTCACGGCCACCGTGAACGGTGGTAAGCTTTACATCTGCAAGGCACAAGCTGGGGACAAGAGGTGGTTTAAAGGAGCTAGAAAGTTTGTGGAGAGCGCTGCAAATTCCTTCAGTGTTGCTTGATTCAAAAATCTTACTTTTAGACGATCTAGAAGAGAATAAAAAATCTATGTAAATATTCTTAGAAATTATCTGTATATTTCTTAAGTGGCACATAAACAAGGATGAACCCTAATGTATATTCCTCCATGTATGATCTCTCTATATCTATTTTGGTGCCAAATTGCATGATGCTATACTATCTAGCAAAAGTCCAACAGATAAACAATAGGTAAACTATGCATTTAGTAAACTATCAATTTTAGCCCGTTTCAATACTTAAATTTTTATTTTTTTTAAAATTATACCTGAATTTTATTTTTTATTTCATTTTAGTACCCACTGTTAAAAACTTAATGCATTTAGTACCTAAACTATCAGTTTTGGTCCGTTTTAATTCCAAAACTTTAAATTTTTTGAAAACTTAATGTTAAATTTTGAACAGGATACTAAAATCAAATAAAAATTAAATTTTAGGTATAATTTTTTTTAAAAAAAATGAAAGTTTAGGTATTTAAATAGATCAAAATCGATAATGTAAGTTTAGACATGCACATTTGTTGGCATTAGCTTATTTGTTTTCTTATAAAGAAATTATTTCATTATAGATCCATATATATTACATCAATTTAATATTCATATTTAACTTTTTAACCATTTTCTCTTAAATAACTAAATTATAATGATACTTTCCAAATCTAATTATAAGAAATCCAAACAATAAAAAATAAAAAAAAAATTAATGTGTGGGTTGAGGGGTTAAAATGAGAGTTTTCAAAGTTTTGGGCCTATTTCAAAATTTATGTGTTTAAAATATGATTTTAATTTTTTTTTAATTTTAAATATATTTTTTAAATTGCCAGAATATAACACATGTGACTTTACAGTAAAATTTAGCGACGGTATGATCCGAACACTTGGTAATGTTTAGGGATGGGCATGGGACTTGAATTTGACCCGACCTGACTTGATCGGGTCGATTTAAAAAAAATCAATTTTGGGATGGGTTTTTTTAAAGTATGTTCGGGTGAAAAATACTCGACCCGACACAACGTGAAAAAAATTATAATTTAACTTATATATTTAGGGATAATAGTAATAATACCCCTTGATATATTAATTTCTTTCAATTAAATCTCTATTTTTATTGAATAAAAATAATATTTTTAATAAATATTATTTTAGGTCGGATTCATATTTTATCTAAAAAAATTAGGTCAGGTTCGGGTCGGGGGAAGAGGTATATTTTTCAGGTCGGGTGGAGGATTTAAAATTTTCAGGTCAGATCGGGTGGACAAAAATCTGACCCGTCCCATGTCCATCCCTAGTAACATTTGTAACGTTAAGTACATGGATGATTTAAAAAAAGTTTGGGAACCTATTTGTAATAAAGGGTATAGTTTGTGCACTTACTTTATAATTAAGCCAAAAAAATCCACAAAAAGAAGCTGAAAAATCGAAGCAGGTTAGAGGAAAATACCTTCACAGTTCACAAATACCTTTCGTCACTGTCTCTTTCCCTTATTCTCCGTTTCCCATTCCAGCACTTAGTTTTTTCTAAGACTCAAAGCTACTGTGTCATCTTCATCTCCTTCAACAAATAACTCTCTTTTAAAACAGATTCAAGCGATTCGAACTCTTCCTCTGATCCTTCCGTTAATAAAGAGCTACCTTCCTACAAAATTCTTTTTATTCTCTGAAGGAAAAACATTCAGCATCTCCCATTTTCAGGTACTTTCCCCGATCGTCTTATTTCTGGTATTTTTTTTCTTTGGTGTCGTTTAGCGGATCAGTCATTACTATAAAGTTCAGTTTTTTATTTGTTATCTGATTAAGAAAATTATTTTTTGTTATGGGTTTTTAAGGTCCTTTACTTTATGGTATCCATGCCTCCTAAAAATGTTGCTTGATTCATTAAACGCTTTTGGCTTTCTTCGATGGGTATTCCCCATTTTTATTATTCGGGTTTTTTTTCCTGGACGTACTTGCTGGTTGGATCCAAGGAATCTGCTATTTTTTCTTCGATTATTTAGGTTTGTTTTATTTTTTATTGCTTTTATATGAATCCTTGGTTGATGCATTTAATTTTTGGGAAGAATGTGGCGCTCTACTCTTATAGACTGTAGGTAAAATAATAGTATAAGTTAGCCTTATTACGATTTAAGTGTTGTTTAATCTTTAGATTTTAAAGTGAAAATTGTTGGTATTTAGGCTCTTTTTAACAACTTTTGATAGATGTTCTTTTTTATTGATTTCTTTAGACGAATACTTGGCTTAATGCATTTAAGTCAAAGGGTTTTCATGAGAATGTAGCAGTCTATTCTTATAGCATGTAGGTAGACTAATGTAAATTAAGCCCTATTATGATTTTATTGTTCCATTTATGCTGTTGGTGGCAATGCTTTTTAATTGGCTTTTTTTTGGGGGGGGGGGGGTGTTTTCAGCCTTGTTAGTTCTATTTCCAGGCTTTATCTCTGAGGTTGTAGTTTAGGGGCAGTTGTTTTCTCATTTGACCTTGAAGATATATTCTGGTGGTAAATTTCTGTATGGTATTTTCTTCCAGCAGATGGCATTGGAACCGGCTACTCCAAGTGCCCAAGTTGTTGGAAATGCTTTTGTTGAGCAGTATTACCACATTCTTTACAATTCTCCAGAGTTGGCTCATAAATTCTATCATGATTCAAGCGTGCTTAGTCGGCCAGACTCCAATGGTATGATGACATCAGTGACAACCATGCAAGTAAGCTGCTTGGCTTGTGTTATTACTTCTCAATGTTGTTCTCTTTGTTAGTTCTAAGAGTTTCTGATCATTGATCTTTAAAATTTCTTGAGAACATTCAGCATGTCATAAGCTACTTTAAATTTCTTTAATTCTATACTGATGATGTGCATTTAATAGATGCTGATTTATTACCTACTACTTGGTTAAAGGGTGATGGATTAACCTATGATTTAGGTGATACTTATTGAGCACCTGTGCTTGAGTCTGTAGGTTTCGCATCAAGAAATTTGCAGGGTTAAACTTTTTGGAGTTAGTGTATGATGCTTCTGAGTTCTGAATACATGTCATGGAAATGGTATTCTCAATTTGGCAATAAAATATGTGTTATGCTCTGACAGTTTTCTCTTCATCTGTGACGTTTGTTTTTGCTACTATTGTTACTTTCACTAATAAATATTATCTTAGTTGGAGCTTAACTTATTTCAAATTTCTTTTTGGTTTTCATTTAAAAAAGGCGTAGTGTTCTGAAAAAATGTCTCATTCATCTGGTCATTTTTATATTCATCTCTGATTCACAATATTGCACATCCGTTTGTAAGCATGAACGTAGAACATCAATGTAGCGAACATGACAAATCCATCACACATGCTCTAGTGTGTAGTTATTATAATTTTTAGGAATTTGAAATTGTAATATTATCGTCCTTTTAAGTTTCCAATAACAAATAGCTTTTAGTTATACGGTGTTATAAATTTACAGTTGCTGTCAGTTTTATACTATCATCTGGTGCAAAGGCCTTCCAATAACATTTTTTCTTGAACAGGGTATTAATGAAAAGATTCTTTCCTTGGATTACAAAAATTATAAGGCTGAGATTAGTACTGCTGATGCTCAGAAGTCTTACAAGGAAGGGGTAATTGTGCTTGTAACTGGATGTCTAACTGGAAAGGATAACTTGAAGAAAAAATTTGCACAATCTTTTTTCCTGGCTCCCCAGGACAATGGGTACTTTGTTCTAAATGATGTATTTAGGTATGTAGAGGATGGTGAATCCTTGGAGAAACAGAAAGTTAATGGCGTTTATGATGCTCCTAGAGTTCCTTCTGCAGCAGAACATGGTAAACTTATATTGTTTTCTTTTTTCTTTTCCATATGTTTTGTTGGATTTTCTTTCAATATTCTTTTTAATTTTTGTTTGCAGAGCCTCCTCAAGGTGTGGATCCTTCTCCAACAGATGCAACAACTGCTTTTGTGGAAGAGAATCAAAATGTTGTTGAGCAAGTTGCTGAGCCATCAGACAAGGAAAGACAACTGGTTAATGAACAAGAGGCTCTTTCGGTATCCCATTCGCATTCTCATAGTAATGATATTCCAGTAGTTGTTGAATCAACTTCTTCAGCCCAAGAAGATACACCGAAGAAATCTTACGCATCAATTGTGAGTTCATACATGAATATTTACTTTCCAGTTTTTGCATTTAGTTGCTTGCTGAAATTTCTTGGTTATTGTTATAGGTAAAAGTACCAAAAGGGAATTCAGGTCCAACTAGAGTTTATGTCCCCACTAATTCCTCTAGAGTGATGCCCCGGGAAACTGAGAGCCAGCCTCTTGTGTCTCCAGCACCTGCTCCTCCAGAAGCATGTGCACCTTCTAGCATTGAATTTGATGCCACTGAGAGTACCGATATTCCTGAGGAAGGTATCCCATGTGTGTGTGTTGTTTACAAATTTAGGGTGTGCGATCTAAAATCATCATATATGCTTTCAGACTTCAGTATGAGATAACTGTGTATTAACTCTATTTAACTAACAGTTGAGGGTCATTCCATTTACATAAAGAACTTGCCCTTCAATGTGATGCCTGCACAGCTGGAGCAGGAGTTTAAGAAATTTGGACCCATCAAGCAAGGGGGTGTCCAAGTTAGAAACAATAAGGTTGGTTGCTGGCACATTGAAATTGAATGAATAATATATTACATTCTATTTCACAAACATTCATTTCTTGATATTTCTACATTCTATTTCTTCAGCAACAAGGATACTGTTTTGGTTTTGTTGAATTTCTGTCTTTGAGCTCCATGAATGATGCAATTCAGGTATGGATCATGTTTATTATATATATACATATTGAAAGAATGTTTCAGATTTATCAGTTTCTTTCAGTCCACTCTTTTTAATGCCCATGTTATCGGAGGAAGGTTTTGAAAATCATATGGGATCAGTTAAATGTTCTTGACACCACAACTCTTTCAACCAATTAAGGGGAAACAAATTTTCATCAAGAGCATCTTTAGTTTTTCATACTTTTTATTTTCTTTATATGTACAAGCTCCAAAAGTAGGAAAGTGCAGTTTTGTCTGCCTTCAGGTACTAATTAGCTTCTCAGTGCAAGCATCAAATACCGTACATTGAGAGCAAATCAACTTTTTAAGTAGTCTCTGT